GAGAGAGAGAGAGAGAGAGAGAGAGAGAGAGAGAGAGAGATTATAGGTTACTAAATGTTTTGTACTTATGGTGAGATGGACGCAGAAATAGAGACCAGAACTGTAAATGTTGATGGACTAAGGGAAGACTGACTAAAAGCAAGGAACAGAATGCAGTAACATTCATATTGGTGTGGGCTTGACTTAGTATTTGAATACCTCAAAGCCATAACTACAAGATGTAACTTCGTATTCCAGCCTTTTTATTATGTTTTCATACAAATAATTGAGACTATATAACTTGCAGAATCCTATAAATTATGTGAGTTAATCACATCAATATGTGTGATAGCTAACAAATCTTTTGGATAAAAATAAAATATTTTCTCTTCCTCATTTCAACTCTAGGCAGAGTTTCCTCAGCAATGTGATACAACATATTTACTAAACTGGTACCTGTAAGGGGAAATGCTAACCACACCTGCTTGAGGGCTGACACAGATGACGCTGACCACACCACGTTCAAGTTTGGACATCTCTTTCAGGTGCCTTTGTCTTTCCTATCAATTTTTGTTTGAGTATATTAAAACTATGTAAAACTCATCGGGGAAAATATGAAGGAGCTTCATGAAACTTGTCTAAGTAATGACTTCTTGAGTCTGAACAAAAAAGCAGGAACCACAAAAGACAAGTGGTACATCAAGTTGAAAAGCCTCTGCACATTCAAGAAAACAATCAACAAAATCCAAGGGGAAACATATACAAGACAAGGAAATAAATTGACATATATTTGATGAAACCATAAAGTCACACCACCATTTCTGCCTAAACATGAGATGCACAAGAATGACATTGATAGACATGCCAAAGTAGATGGGAAGCCCACAAGGTCTCAACTTATACAAAGAATTACAGACAACTAAGTGATGTTGAATGGGAAAAATAGTCTTCCCAGAAAATATATACACAAGTAATATTACACAGAATGAACAGGTTATACTTAGGTATAAATATGTATATACATATGTGCATGTAACAATGATTAATGTAAAAAGAAGCCATTAATTTAAAAATGAGCAATCAGGGATACATGGGAGGGGTTGGAGTGAAAAAGGGAAGGAAGAGAAGGTTGTAATTATAATTTCAAATTTTATAAAAGTCTTTTAAAAGAAGATAATGCTTGGCAGATCGCATAGAAAGAGTATATGGTCAAAAACTGTGCTCATTGAGTGAGTTACATAAAGGAATATTAATTTGTTAATTAAAAACTCATAATTGGTCATGTACAGATAGATTAAAGAGAAGTCACAAGAAGGAAATTATTTAATTAAAAAGTAGTAATTAGAGTAATGCACACATGTTCAAATATAGTTACATGAAAATAGCCTTTGATGGTCTGAAATGACAAGAGTAAAAGCTAATTCTGGACTGTGAAAGGAGCTTTTAATTTTTAAAGGACATTGTTTGCTGTTTTGACTCACTTTTTAATCAAACCTTAGGGAAATTATAAAATGAATGATTTTACAAGAGACGTCTTCTTTGCATGGGTGGGGTGATTTGGAGGGCTGTCATTCTGGGTCTTGGTTATCAGCTCTGGGCATATCTACACAGCAGTAATCAGCCCTGAACAGCTTGCTTCATTCAGGTCTCAGCATCAGGACAAAGTGAGGTATTTGATATCCTCTTCTTGGCCTCAGAAGATCCAAGAGCTCCATAGCCAAAAATTTACACTTTCTATACTGTAAACTTACTTTAAAGTCAATTTTTCTCTATTGATTCATCAACAAAGACAAAACATTAAAGTTAATATGAAACTAATATTTCCCATAGAATAGAATTCATCATTAATCCATTCTCTTGAGATTTAGCCTTTTATTTTGCTGGAGCTACTTCATATTTAAAAATGTCTTTGAACTTTGACTATTAGGGTGTGTCAAAATAGTAGACATATTGTTCAGAAAATGAAAAAGATATTCTGTTTGGGGCATAGGGTTTCCATAGGTATCTGTAAAACTCTAGAGATACCTGTCCATCCATGTTCATTCCTGCTCTATTTACAAAAGCCAGGAAATGGAAACAGCTTAGATTTTGATCAACTGGTGAAGAGATAATGAAAATGTGGTACTTTCATATAATGGCTTATTACCTAGCTATTAAGAAAAATGAAATTATGAAAGCCATGGGTAAATAGTTGGAGAGAGAATCATTCTGAGAGAGCTAACCCAGACCCATCCGGAATAACTAACATAATGTCCATGCTTTCTATCATTTGTAGGTATTAGATTGGAATCTTAAGACCTTCACTTGCATATGGAATACCCTTTCAAGTCAGGAAACCGGTAAAGAACTATAGGAAGGAGGGCCTTTCAAGAGAGGGGATGTGTTAGGGAGGGTTAAAGTGCTATAAAGTGTTAGGGAGGGTTAAAGAAGCTGGAAGGGTTAAATCAGGGTGAGGAGAGTCAGGAAGAAGAGGGAAGAGGAGGGAAAACAAACACTGAAGATGTTTGACAAGACTCACATGGAAACTTACTACTACAGAAACTTCCTAACATACACAGGTACACATATGTAAATATTTAAATGGAGTTCATTCATAATAGGGAAACAAAGGTCCTAATAGATATCACAGTCCCACAAGTAAAACAATCCAGTGCCAGGAATAGGCTTTCTCTTTTAGTATTTTTGGTGCTTTAAATGAGACATCTTCCATACTCTTTGGTCCCTAGTTGGTAGTGCTGTATGGGCGGTTTAGGGGGTGCTGCCTCTCTGGAGAAGGTATGTTGCTAGAAGCAGGCTTTGAGCGTTTTAATACTCATGCCATTTCAATGAACTTTCTCTGCTTCGTGCTTTCGGTTAAGATATGAATTCTCAGCTACTGCTCCCGCCATCATGTCTGCCACCAGTCGCCTCTGCTCCTCCATCATGGACTCTAACCCTCTCGAACTGTAATCCATAGTGTTTCATCATCACACCAATAGAAAAGTAACTAACACAGTATTGTTGTGAGGCCCAGACATCCCGCACTCCAATGAGGAGGCACTAGAAGAGCTCCAGGAAGCAACTGGGAACAGGAACATCAGAGAGCATAGACTTAGACACAAGTTAAGAGTGGGCAGAAAGCTCATCAAGGCTAGGAGAGGCATCCCGGCATGGGGGATATAAAAGCCAACAAATGCACCAGGGACAGGTCCGGATCTCAGCTGTGGGCTCCTTGAAGAATCAAAATTAGGCCTTAGCTATTTGTGATTCCCATCATGATAGAACAAATAGAATCCCAGTCTATTGACTGATATCCCAGGTTATATGGTACCTCTCCATTTTCTCAAAGCAATGGTATTAGAAAATATTTCATGGTGGTTAAAGCAAAGCTTTTGGAGAAGGTTACATCTGAGTTTGAACTACAGCTTAGCCTTTTGTAAAATAAATATACTTAGACAAGTCACTTAGCCACTATAACCCATCTTTCTCTCTTTTATAATAGGAATGATAAAATGAATACTACAAATTACCTTTGAAAACAAAATATAGGAGACAATACATGTCTTAAAAATATAAATGTGTAATAAATAGAAAAATGCATTGTTAGTATCAAAAACAGAAAGCAAGTATGAATTTATATTGTTATTTTACTTTTGCAATAATATTGTGTTAATAAGTTCAGTGAAATTTTGGTTAAGCAAGTATGTAAACAACTTAAAGTCACCAGTGTGTGTGTTAGTAGCTCCCATTATATCCAAATCAGAAAGCATGTTTCTTGAATTCTGTGTACTCATGCCGGTTATATTCATAATGTACCATTAATGTCATCATACCACAAGCTTTAACTCCTTTATTTTTCTCTGAGGTTGGAATAGTTTGTGTTCAACACAAACACACACACACACACACACACACACACACACACACACACACAAACACACACAAGTGAAAATGCTATAATTTGCAGAGATTACGTTTATCTGTGGAAGGTTCCCAGGCAGAGTAGCAAACTGGTATTTAAGAAATAAGCCATTCTGTAGGAAGTA